TCCCAGCTACTTGGGAGGCTGAGGCAAGAGAATTGCTCAAGCCCAGTATTTTGAAGTTGCTGCAATGCTGTGGCATTCTGTCTCCAAAAAAAAAAAAAAAAAAGAAAGAAAGAAAGAAAAAATTCTATAATGGTAAAAGAAAGAAAAAAATTACCTTTTAATTGACATGAATAAGGTGGATTTTGAAAAATCACATTTATTGAAATGTAATGGAATCTTCTGAAACTACTTAATTCTAAGTCAACTGCCAGCCTTAAATATTAGGCCTTTTAAAAGCAACCATAAATATACCTACCTCATATTCCTGGAAGACATAATTTGTATACAATTACGAATGAATAAAAGAGTTCAGGAAGAGTTTGTTATACACTACACCTTAGCTTATCAAAGTGCTTCTACAGTGCCTGGCAGAAGCATAAATTCTGCTCGGTGGTGAGAGACTGGCCTCTCCACAGGTCCCACTAATCCACAGGTGAAGCTGATGATACTGTTCTCTGGACCACACTTTCAGCAGCAACACACTGATGTATCTCACTTTAGCTATTTCATTATCCAGAATATAATTTTACATGCAAAAGTAATCCATTTAAGGTTGTCAAATAAGCAAAACTGGTCATCAAATTTTAGCATCTGTTTGTCTGTGGTGGCAGGGCAAGCATTTGAGCAGTGGGAGGAGGTTACTATGCACCTGAACTAGGGCAAGGAGACAGATGCAGGAAGCCACCAGACACGGTGACAGACTCCCTACGGTAGACCCATGACCAGACCATGACCAACTCCCCATGACAAAACCCCCCAACCTGGAAAATTAACTCCCAGTGAAAAAAAGTCTATTTATTAGCTGCCACTTTTACCAAAAGAAGTTTTATTCCATATTTAATGCCTAAGTAAAAAATTCTACTGATTTCTGATCTATAATCAGCACTGTGGTTTAATAATAATGTTTACAATAGAAATTGCCACATTCTTAACCAAAGTCGCTGTGTTTAATAACATGGACTTTTAAGTTGACTGACTGAGATTTTCCTATACACAGGTTAAATTAACTGCCTGTTTCAACAGTTCTATTACCAACTAACGGCACCGTACTTGTTCATTTTTCAGTAAGTTACTAAAGAATTAAAAATAATTTGTCAAATATTCATCAGAAATAACTGACATGGTCCTTTGGCATTCACTGTTTAATAATTCCTAGCCATCTAAGATTTGTCAGGTAAAGCACGAAACTGCAACTGAGATTCGGTGAATCGTGTCTGTCCCTGGGCCTTTTTGTTCTTTTCCTAAATAGCCCATCTAATCTCAGTCTACCTAGCAGGTTGCCAGCCTGACACTGCGGCCAGCTCTGGCAGGTAACACTCGGTGATGGGCTTTCCTGTGCATCACAGGCTGTTCACCAGAGTTCCCCATTCAGTCCTTCCACAAACCCACAGTGCTTCCGTGGTTTAGCACATGGGAGAAATAATAAAACACACGAACTTTGAAAAATCCCCTTACTAAGTAGAATGCTTTTCATCAGCCCAGCATCTCTTTGGGAAATATACCCTTTCGCACATGGTCTGGGTAGGGCTGAAAGTAAGTACCCCCTGGAGTCCCAGGAATAAAATAAATAAGCCAGGACAAGCCAGAGCACTCATCTCTCTCGCAGTGATTACTTCTGGCTGGGTATGTAATTCAAGACGAGTCAGTGGGGAGCTCTGAGAGAGGAGGAAATTCTCATTTTTGTTGGCTCTGTAGCCAAAAGTGTAAGTGAAGAGCTTCCAGTAGCCATCTCAGCCCATCTGACAACAAAGGCGAGAGAGACAGGGCAGGACACCTGATGCCCCAGGAGCCCTTGCAGCCCCTGCATGAGGAGGTGCATGAACCAGACCTGCAGAGTCCCACCTAAGCAGCCCAGGAAACTGTTTTGCTTAAGCTAATTGAATGGGATTTTTGTCACTGGTAAGCAAAAGAGCATCAAGTAATGCTTTCTGTAAATCTCATTAATAAAAACTAACATAATGGGTAAAATTAATTATCTGTTGAATATTAATTCCACTTACTGAGCGCTTACTAATATGCCAGACACTATGCTAAGTGCTGCCCATAAATTATTACAGGAGCTCTGCAAATAAATACTATTTGTTACTTTACCAATGAAAAGAAAAAGTAACAAGTCCAAGGTGAAACATCTAGGTAGTGATCCAAGTTTACTTAGTCTGTACCAGTTCTGCTCACACCATTCTGTACCCACCTACTAACTCAGTCACCAAATGTTTACTAAGTGCTTATGCAGCAAGGATCGACCTGGTTAGTATCAAGGACACAAAGAGGAATAAACAAATCGCTACAATACTGTCATGTGGCGTATAATTGATAATTTATATAAATTTAAGAAGCCATTACTAAATTTCCAGCTACAGAGATTTTGCAAACAAAACAGATACAGGTTCAAAGGAACCTGCCTGGAATGCTTCTGTAACAAATCTTATTCTGATCTGTCAACTGATTCCTCCAGAGAAAAAAAGAGAGAAAGATCCCGACAATAAAGAAATCAGGGTATCTTAGTTTTGTAGGTCTTTTTTTTTTGCAGTTTTTGGCTGAGGCTGGGTTTGAACCCACCACCTCCGGCATATGAGGCCAGCGCCCTACTCCTCTGAGCCACAAGGGCCGCCCTGTTTTGTAGTACTCTTATTATAAAAACTGAGTGCTCACCAAAGTAATGAAAAATATCCTGTGAACTTTCTTCCACAGAAGCCACGGACCAGTGTTACAGCTCTTTTAGAATTTGTCTAGCAGGTTTTCTAGTCTCCACCCCCCAACCGTGCAAATCAGCACACTGCTTTCAGAGTTCTGACAGTATGATTTATATAGCAGTTTCATAAATTTGGCTTGTGTACATAAGGGACCCTAGGTGGAGGCAAATTCTGAATATCCTAACACAAAAGTTTGAATTTCTAGAACCACAAAGGCTGAGGAAAATCTCTGTACTACAGGGACCCCTCTGATGCAATGACACTTAGTCTGACCCTTACACAAATGAATATGCTTAGATTCTTAAAATGAGAAAGCTTCACAAATCATACCCTTTCCTTAAAAAAATTACGTACCTATAATCACCTTCTAAAAATCACGTTAAAAATGAAAACATTAAGCCAGAATTAAAAGCATAAAAAATTAGAGATTAGGATTTACACTGCTGATATTTAAGAATACAAACATACTAAAATAAAAGATAAAATATATTGAGATAATTAAAACTGTCTTTAGCCATAATATGAAGATACTATACAACTAAGATGTTTCCTATCCATCTACTAAATGCATTTTCAAAGATAAGCACTACTTTCATAGCCAAAACTTTAAAAAAATTTAATAAAAAGGAACAAATGTCTTTTGGCTTTTCATTTATTTGCAGAAAGAAAAAACTCAATGGGAAACGTGTTAACCATTAATAACATATAAGTAGAATATATAAAGTTTAAATTTTAACTTAATTTTAATTTATTTTTGTACACAGTCACAATGTGTTCACAGAACATACGCACAGAATTCCAATACGTAACAAGGTCACTCCCTACTAGTGACTTCTGTGTTCCTGTATGTTGCAGGAAATGGACGCTGTTAAACATTTAAAGATGTATTAAAACATTTCTGTTGTCATGTAAACTTACTGGCCAGTGATGTTCCCTTGACTGCCTCTAACCTGCTGGTTGCTCTGAGAGCAGGTGCACACTTAGAATATAAGGTAAGTTTTTAGAGAGAATGCTACGGAGAAATAAGTAACAAAAGACACCTATAACTAACTCCAAACAGCTTTACATATGTGAAGTTGATATGTGGAGAGAAAATGAAATAAAAGAAATGAAGAAATGTTTCTAGCGCTGAGTGATGTCATACTGCACATGAACTCATGAAAGCACAGCAGTCTTTCTGGAACCCATCCAAGTGAATAATCTGAACAGACTTTTAAAAAAGTCCTCAAGTACTTTAAATTATTAAAAGTATGACTTACCTTAGGGACTTTTAGATAAAATGGGGGGAAAATCATATAAAATTTAGTAAGATGCTTTTCTAAATGATGACGTTCATAAACATCAAAGTCCTCTCCTTTAATACTGGAAGTTTAAGAAGTAAATATGCTTTTTATATCAGTTGTTTACTCTGAAATTTGTTTTTAAACCTCCCAGTGATATAAAATAATCTGCTAACAAAGATTAGAAAACGGTAAAGTTCACAGCACATTTGAATGTGGGGGAAAGAAATAAATAAGTCATTGAAGAAGCATTTGCTGTTTCTCTGTTTGGGCTGGACTTTTATGGACAAAACTGGAAAAACAGTAAATGTATTTCTTCTTACAGAAATAATGCAGGGTTACATAGTAGGCTATTGTGTTCTTACCACATTTTTACATATAAAGTAACATTTCATCACTTTGAAAGCATAAATTCAGCTATTATCACTTCACTAACAACCCACCTTTTTCATTCTCTTTGTATTTACAAATGCCCACTGGAATCTCTGCTTGAAACATGGAGCCGACCATAATCTCCTATTTTAAAAATAACAAAAACATTAGTAAAATCTAGTAACACAGACTTTATCTCCATTTTCTAGCTTTACCATCTTCTTAGTGAACTGCTCCTGGCTTCTCTGTCAGGAGATACAGATTCAACCAATTAACTACCTCAGGTGTATTGTGAGAATGAATGAGTTAATAATAGATAAAAGCTTGGATATGATTGGACAGAAATGTTAGTAACAATGAGGTGAAATGCAATGTAAACAAGCAATACAAACTGTACTTCAAAATACAGAGAGAGAGAAATAAAAGTGGATTCTGATTATTAATAAGGTAACTGCAAAACACCTAGTAAGAGAAAGTCAAGTTCAGATACTTTCAGAGCACCCACACTGCAGACTGTGGTCTTACAGCATGTTTCCCGTGTCCCCGGCAACTGCTTGAAATGTAAATGCTCAGGTCCTTCCCCAAAGACAGAGCCAGAAAGTGTGGGGACAGGGCTCAGCAATTAGCATTTTCACAAGTTCTCCAGGTGATTCTGACATTATACTTAAGTCAGAGAAGTAGAGCTTTATGGTAGAGGATTTATGTAAATTACTCAGTAGAGGCCAAACCCATGAAAGTCCAAACACAACAGCTAAGTGGTTAGTCACAGTCTGACTTGTTCATCCTAGGAAACAGCCCAGATTACACAGACTCTCTTTGATCTGGTGGCTAAATGCTAAGAACAAATTTACAGGCATATTAAAAAAGATGACTTGGGCAGGAAAGACACAAAACCATGGTTTAGAAAAGTTTGGATAACTCTCAGTATTTGAAAAGTTCTTCTCCTTCTCCTGTTAACCCATATTGATATCCGGGTCTCACTTTACCAAGTGTAACATCAAAGACATGTTCTATGTAGTAAGGTGCTGCTACACACCTGCAGAAGAAAACAAGTCTTTCTTTTTTTTTTTTTTTTTTTTTTGAGACAGTCTCACTTTGTTGCCCTCGGTAGAGTACCATGGCGTCACAGCTCACAGCAACCTCAAACTCTTGGGCTCAAGAGATTCTCTTGCCTCAGCCTCCCCAGGAGCTGGGTCTACAGGTGCCTGCCACAGTGCCCGGCTATTTTCTTGTTGTAGTTGTCATTGTTGCTTGGCAGGCCTAGGCCGGGTTTGAACCTGCTAACCCCTGTGTATAGTGCCGTAGCCTGAGCTATAGGTGCCGAGCCAAGTAAGTCTCTCTCTTCATCAGTTTTCCAAAAAGTACCACATATGATACCCCTTCTCCACTGTCACACAGGAACTCCACCACAGAGTCCTCTACTGGCACTCTGTGTGCCGCTCATAACTCTACTCACCTGTGCCTACCAAAGAACAGATTGTCAACTATCAAACTTGGCTGGGGCACTTCTAAAATACCAACATCTGGATCATTCTAGTCAACTAAATTAGAACCTACTATGGACGACCTACTCCAAGGGACTAACATAAGGCCAGGAATGAAAATATAAAAAATATAAGACTAGTATAAAGATAAAGCACTTTATTTTCTTTGAGTTCAGAATACTTTTTTTGTTCTATAGTGTAGGTAAAAGAAAGGATTTAAGATCGTTAGGTACAAGGTATCTTCCATGTAATTTCCTTTTATTCTTCATCAAGCCCTATAAAGCTGACACTGCTATTCCCCTATTACATGTGAGGATATGAAACTCAGAAAGTTTTTCTCAGGAACACACAATCAGCAAGATTTAGGGTTATAATGTAAACTCAAGTTTGATTTCAAAGCTAGCCTAGTTTTTAAAAAAATCCAATTCTATCCTATAAGCCTTAAAGAAATGAATCTCTGAATTCCAACCACCATTTACTACAACAAAATCATTCATACTGAAAGAAAACAATCTGAATTTACTCCAACTTGCTATACACTGCATAATTTTTTTCTGAGAAAGGTTGGGCTGATACCCCTAGCAATGAAAACTTCATCTCCCCCCATATTCTCCCTCTGAGCTTTTGTTTGTACATTAAAAAAAAAAGTACTGAACACGTAATCAAATACTCTATTTGATTAAGACAATCAAAATAACATACGCTGAAGAGAGAGATACACCATGTATAACCTTGAGTGTGGCATAGAACACACTCCCAAGGCTCCTAGCAGGTTTCATCTTAATTCTGGATGATGCAGAAAATCAGATAAAAACTGAATTGAAGAACACCTGCCCAAACAGGTCACACAAATAATAACTCTGTGTGTGTGTGAGACAAGAGTCTCACTCTGTTGCCCAAGCCAAAGTGCCCTGCCCATCATAGCTCATAGCAACCTCAAATTCTTGGGCTCAAGCGATCCACCTGCTTCAGCCTCCCAAGTAGCTGAGATTACAGGTGCCCACCAACACACCTGGATAGTTTTTCTACTTTTAGAAGAGATGGGAGTCTCACTCATGCCCAGGCTGGTCTGGAACTCCTGAGTTCAAACAATCCACCCGCCTCAGCCTCCCACAGAGCTGGGATCACAAGTATGAGCCGCTGGCCTGGCCAAATAGTAACTTTCGTGATCCCTGTTTTCCATCTTCAGTTTGAACACTTATTCAAATTAACACATACTGCACACATACCATACACACTGCACACAGCACACACAATGGACACACATACTACACACGCCACACACCCACATGCTGCACACACACATCATACACAATTCACATTACATACCACATACACCCCCACATACACCGCATGCACACATCACACACACTTCACACTGCACAAGTACATACCAGACACCCCACACACTGTGCACACACATCGTACACACTGCACATGTACATACCACATACACCCCCACACTGCACATACACATCGCACACACTTCACACATACATACCACATACACCCCACACACTGTGCACACACATCGTACACACTGCACATGTACATACCAGACACCCCACACACAGCGCACACATTGTACGCACACAGTGCACACACATCGTACATACTGAACATTACATACCACATACACCCCCACACACACCGCACGCACACATTGCACACACTTCACAAGTACATACCACAGACACTCCCCACACTGTGCATGTATACATTGCACACACTTCACATGTACATACCACCTACACCCCACACACTGTACGCACATATCGCACACACTTCACATGTACATACCACAGACACCCCACACACTGTGCACACACATCATACACACTGCACATGTACATACTACAGACACCGCACACACCCACAACACACACTACACTGCACACTGAGCTTGTCATCTCTTGCCATTCTAACCCATGACACTGACATCTCTCTTTTAACATCTACACAGCTTCTCATTGGTTTTATTCCATTAAACATCTAATAAAGCATTCACTTGGGTTGTACTTACACAATACCTTTCACAGGATGTCCCTCCAACCTACAGCAAAAATGAGATCCTTGAGAAAAGGGGTCCCTATCTCTTAACAGCTATGTAAACAACAGGTATTCATCATTTACTGAATGTAGAAAACTATTCCTCTCCCACTCTTTCGATTTACATCATTAATTATTAAAAATTATCTGGCTTCCCCATATCTTTGCTAGGGAAGGCAATGAATGCCTATTGGAAATACCCCTCTGGAAACCCACAGAGCAGTCAACTCTGGCTGAAACCTAGAACCCTTAGTAGCCCGGGCGAAGTTCATCTGCATAGTTCACTCTTCCTAACAGAAACTCAAAATATGAGATATTGAAAATCACCAGCAAGAGAGTCAATTCTTTTTTCTAGTTTGTGTGAGGCATCCCAAACCAGACAACTTTGAGCCAATTAAAAAAAAAAAAAAAACAGGGAAAAATCTCAGTGTTAACTAATAATTAAACAATCTTGACTTAAAAAGCACAATGATTATTTCTATACTAAATTTCTTTCTTTCTTTTAAGAGACAGAGTCTTATTTTATCGCCCTCGGTAGAGTGCCATGGCGTCACAGCTGACAGCAACCTCTAACTCCTGGGCTTAGACGATTCTCTTGCCTCAGCCTCCTGAGTAGCTGGGACTACAGGCGCCTGCCACAATGCCTGGCTATTTTTTTTGTTGCAGTTTGGCCGGTGCTGGAGTATATGAGGCTGGTGCCCTACCCACTAAACCACAGCACCACCCACTACACTAAACTTCAAATCAGGCCTAGCAAGAAGACAAACTTAATGGAGTTTTGTTTGACGTAAGGTAAGGTAGGTGAGGTGATCAATCTTCCACCAAGAGCAACATCATTTCTTCTACACAATCATTTGTTTTAAACAATTTTTCATAATATTTCAACAGACTTTCCTAAGAGGTCAGTTGCTTTGCAACAACCTAACATTACTCTTCAACTTAACCATATGATTAATTATATACTGGTATATAATTTTATAATTAAAAACTAATGTCAATATTATCTTTTTCGATTTAATATAGAAATTAAAATTATGTACAGAGAAGCCAAATCTCTCTCTTCATACAATATACTTAACAATTATAAATAACTACACTGAATTCAATCATTGAGATTTTTCCCTTTATTTCTTCTACACAATCATTTGTTTTAAACAATTTTTCATAATATTTCAACAGACTTTTCCTAAGAGGTCAGTTGCTTTGCAACAACCTAAAATTATTCTTCAACTTAACCATATGATTAATTATATACTGGTATATAATTTTATAATTAAAAACTAATGTCAATATTATCTTTTTCGATTTAATATGGAAATTAACTATGTACAGAGAAGCCAAATCTCTCTCTTCACACAATATACTTAACAATTATAAATAACTACATTGAATTCAATCATTGAGATTTTTCCCTTTATAAAAGAATACAGGGTAGGTAATTTGAAATCTAATCAAGCAAAATTTACTTAATAAATATCATAGCCTCTACACCTGCTTTCCATAATACATAAAACAAAACACGTATGTGATTATAGGGTAACTAAGCTTAACTCAGCACTAGGTTAGGACCAGCTCAGGATTTGGATTTCTAATCTTAGCTTGAGTACTCATTTTCTCAATAAGTTTCAATTGTTTCCACAGACATTTTATTTTATAAAAAGAAAAAAAAGATACCTCTCACCTAGATGTATTAAAGGGGAGTCTAAACATTTACCAAACAAATGTCACAGAAAGATTACACCGACTTTATCAATACACATAGTAAGAGAATAATTAGGCTTGTCTTTTTAAGTATTAACTTATCTAAGTTTGGGGAAAATATCATTCTAACTACCTTTTTCCAGTCTTCTGAAGGAATATAATCTTCATCTTCTTCAGATTCTTCTTCTATTTCACTATCTAGAATAAATAAGACACCAATACTATAAAACAATTGCTTATCCTATCCACATCTATATACCTGTAGATTATTTTGTATCTACTTAAAATATTTAGATATGCTCGAAGGTATCCAATGAGTTAGACCAAGATATCTTTAATCAAATAATCAACCCTACCACAAAAAAAAAAAAAAAAAAAAAAGAAAGAAAAAAAAGATGCCAGAAACCAATAAGCAAAAAAAGCATAAACCTTCTAGGTAACTGCATTCTCATAAAATGGTTTCCTACAAAAACTTCAGCAAAGAGTTCATTTGCAGTCAAAGTTAACATGTTTCTAATATTCATTCTGCTATAACAACCTAGTCATAGAAGGTATTATATGATCTCAATTTCTTTACATATAAATTGAGAGTTAGGACAAAGTATTGGTTTTCCAGAGTTCCTCAGAACACTAGGAACCCCACAGCACTGGTTACTGAGGAAGGCAGGAGGGATGCTAGTATGTGTAACACCAGGAACCCACGGCAGCACGGCTCTCTGAGGAAGATGCGAGGGTGTGTGTGTGTAACACTAGGAACCCACGGCAGCACGGCTCTCTGAGGAAGATGCGAGGGATGCATGCATGTAGACATCCAGTTTCTGCAGTTCCATTTTACTGAGCATGGGCAAGTTGTTGTTTGTTTAGTCCTCAGAATAAGAATGTTATTTATATAATACTATTAGATTGTTAGCATCTTCTCAAATCTAAAATGACACACAAATGCTGAAAAGGACATTACATACAGAAATTAATTCTTTCTATGGAAAAATTAAGAGAGGAGGTACGTGCATAGCTTCCACACATACATAACAACTTGAATCACCAAATTATAAGTATAAAATAAACATTGCTTCACGAGACAGAGCAGTCACTTGGCATCCCACTATTAAACAATATTTGGCAATGGATTTGCTCTTTGTCTAGCTAAAGGAAAAAAATACCACTACATTCTCCCCAAACTTAAAATTAACACAATTACCTGTGTTAGAGAGTAATTCTTCCCTATAATAATATTTTTTCCTCTGAACCAGATTTTTTTGTTTTTGTTTTGAGACAGTGTCTCACTATATTGCCTTTGGTAGAGTGCTATGGAGTCACAGCTCACAGCAACCTCAAACTCTTGGGCTTAAGTGATTCTCTCGCCTTAGCCTCCCAAGTAGCTGGGACTACAGGCGCCTGCCACAAGGCCTGGCTCTTTTTTTGTTGTTGCAGTTGTCACTGTTGTTTAGCAGGCCCAGGCTGGCCCAAACCCATCAGCCCCAACCACTGAGCTACGGGTGCTGAGCCTAAACTAGATTTTTGATCAAAACTTGTGTAATCATACAAAAAGTATTATTAGCAATACTATTTCACTTCTAAGCAAAGTATACAGCAAATCATTCATGCAAAGCACTAGTAGCCATGTTTAATCAATTATTACCTGACTACTTATTTCATAAGGTTATTTTTCTCCAAGTGATTTTCTTTTTGTTAAGTACAAAAATTTAGAACACAAATTTAAACTAATAACAACGGTAGCAGACTTGTTCTTATCAAAGAGCTATCATCTAGAGCAGCGGTTCTCAACCTGTGGGTTGCGACCCCTTTGTATCAATGAAAATACATCCTGCATATCAGATATTTACATTACGACTTATAACAGTAACAAAATTACAGTTATGAAGTAGCAATGAAAATAATTTTATGGTTGGGGGTCACCACAACATGAAGAACTTTATTAAAGGGTGGCAGCACTAGGAGGCATTAGGAAGGTTGAGAACCACTGCTCTAGAGTAACAACTTGTCTTAGACTAAAACATGGTAGAGCAGAGTGAAACAAGCAAATATTTAAAATACAGTGGAACCTCCATGGCTGACGACCTCCCTACACCAACCACCTCAGACTGACCTAATTTCCAGAGAGACGTGAATCACACGTATGAAGGCCCAGCTCCTCATGATGCTCACCTCTGTATGTTATCCAGTTTGTTATGGCCCCCGCATGGTCACTTAGAGGTTCTACTCTATGTACACTAAACGCTGCCGTGACTACTGGCCATCTCTCACCAGATCAGAACTGAAAAAACATTAGGGGAGGCTCTTCTGTGAAGATGTTATCCTACCTCAAGAATTAACTACTTCTTTAGTCCTAGGAGCTGAAGACTAAAGAAAACAATGCTATGGATATACCTAAAAGCAGCTAAGAGGCAAAGCAGAAAATGAAAACTATGGGAAAGACTATGAGAAATAAAAAAGATGACCATGAAACAAACATTTAAAAACAGGCAGGGAAGAAACAAAAGTACATAGTCAAGTAGTATGTAACACAACAATTACTATAGTATGTTCACTCACATTAAGACCCTGGCATGGCTAAACAATGTACTAAAAAACCCAAATACTATTCAAAGAGATTTTAGAATAAATGAATTCAAAAAGAATAGTGAAAAACATTAAGGTAATATATAAAGTAATATAAATTATATTCAAAGTATACCAACCAATAATACTTACTTGTATCAAAATATTTACATCGACGTGGACGGATTATTTCTTGGACATCTTGAGAAGCAACAGACTGTGATGGATCATCATTGGAAGACTGAGTTTCATCCTCCTGTCCTGATGAATCCTTTATATTCTCTTCCTGCAGAAGAATAAATTCAATTTCTTTAAGATTAAAAAAAAAAAACTGTTGGAGATGAAAGGCTGTAATGTTTACATTTCTAAATACAACTAGAAGATGAAAATGAATTACTAAATGTAACATGGTATTCTGGGTTGGCTCCTGAACAGGAAAAGTACCTTAGTAGAAAAACTAGTAAAATCTGAACTATCTATATATATTAGTTAATAGTACTGTACAAGTGTTGGTTTCTTAGTTTTGATAACTATACCATGGTTACATAAGATGTTAACATTAGGAGAATTTGGGTGAAGAATACACAAAAACTTTTCATACCATCTTTAAACCTCTTCTATTAATCTAACACTTCAAAATAAAGTAAAAATAAGTATAGAACTGCCAATTAGCCTTTAGTATTTAAAGGCAGCTTTTATTTTTTAAATGCTGGCATAAATTATTTAGAAGAAGCTCTGGGGGGAAAAAAGAAGAAATCTTGAAAAGACCAAACTATTACCTCTCAAGCGTGGATTTCCAACTTTTTTAATATTATGTATTTCTCTTAACATTTTAATTTTTAACATTTAAAGGTATTACTATCAGAAATAGTAAAGATTATAAAAGTCATCAGAATGAATGTATTAAGAAACATTCATTTAACTTCAACAAGAGTAAAGACCAGACTCTTAAACACACACGTCTATGAACTTACTTTATTTTCCCCACTACAACCACTATTGTCGTCATTCTCGGCGTCCTCCTCCTCATCACCTTCCTCCTCCTCCTCTTCCTCCTCTTCATCATCTTCTTCAGGCAGTCGAACAGCATTGTTATAACCATAAAGGCTGAGCAGTTCATGAATTGGCATGTCACCTTCCTAAATAAACCAAAATACAGGTCAATTCTGAATCAGTGAAATTTCAAATTCCTAAACTATAATTTGTAATCTGTAGAGTATATATTTTATAAAGAAAATACTCTAAGAATCACAAGAATTCTCAAATCATAAAAAGTTAAACTGAAAATATTACTAAGACTAAGGAATATCCTAGTCTTTTAAGTATTTATAAAACTAACCAACTCTTATTACTAACAAGAACATCTTTTAAGTATGTTTAAAAAGTGACATTGGTCTGAAGCTATTATTTTTTGAATCAACTTAGTATATATACACTGACAATTAGTTAACACTATACGTGGATGTCTACACTTAATAAGAGTATCATACTTAATCTAGGGATAGAAAAATAGAATAATTAGAGAACAGACTATGAGTTAACAAACTCAGAAAAGGAGATGAAATTCACAGCCCAGACCAAACACATTAAAAGAAAAACAATGACATACAAGAGTGATGCAAGATTACAGTAGGAATATATTCTTTTCTATGGTTATCTCCACTTACATATAAAACCATCTCAGGCAATCCTCACTATCCATTAATATCATACAGAATATATTACTGCCATTTCATAAATGAGGACATAAAGGGTGACAGATTGAGCAATTTCTTCAAGAATCATACAAGTTATAAGCAGTAGAGTCAGATCTAAACAGTCTAACTCCAAAAGACCACACTCTTTTCAGTATACCATGGTGCCTCAGCCACAGACCTCTTTCAGGACCTCCAAAAAACACCTTTTGTTGATGAAATGAAGAAATATCCACACACAGTGAAATGAAATCAGGTCCCTATAGAAGGTACTATCATCAGTAAACAAGTGATGTAAGTTACAGGGAAACACAACAGAATTCTGATTATATAGAGAAAATTTAACCTAAATCCTCTGAATATATATATATATATATATATATATATACTGTGAAGCAAAATCAGAGGAGAGTCACTTTATAAGCTAGGAAAATGATAATTATAAAATAAAACATGTTTACTATTTCTCCGACAGTCTGATTTATTCACAGAGTCAGTCTGGCTCACATGTGAACTATGCCACTATAGCCCAGAAACACAAATCAGACTGGATAATACAACCTGACAGGAACTCAGATCGTAAAGTTAACCTGTCACTCGGAATCCATGCACAAGAATCAATCTAAGGACTGTAATTTGAAAGGATTTTCTTTTAGAAAGAAACAGGAAAAAAATACCATTTACACTTCCATTTCACATTGTAAATGACCTTTCTGGTTATAAATCAGTTTATAAATCTATTTCTGAAAAGGAAATCAATTTCAAGAGCCTTAATAATTCGCAGAAGCTACACTCTGAAACATGGTAACCATATTAGGCAAGGGATTGCCACTCCCGCTGAATGACCAGCTGGCACACTTAACTGACAGTTCTTAAGCACAACACAAACAGCACTTCAAGTATTTAAGGATCTGGTCCATACACCAAGGCTATTCGTAATACAAGACACTGATATTTGGAAATTAAAGGAGTCAATACTTAAGAACTAAAACAGAACCTCAGACTCCATGTACAATGTGAAACAGAAGTAGAACAACATTTTCTGTTTCTCTAAAACAATCTGTTTAAGATAGAAGAGGAGAAAGACACAGAACAGGCTACTCTGATACACAAGAATAACAAACAGCAGCCTTAGTGTCCTCTATGGGCCAGGCCTTTAATTTTACTGTCTCTTTCTCTTCTTAATCACGAAAGCAGAGTCGAAACATTACACAATCTCTTGGCCGGGCATAGTGGCTCACTCCTGTAATTCTAGCACTCTGGAAGACTGAGGCAGGAGGATCCCTTGAACTCAACCTGAGCAAGAGGGAGACCCCATTTCTACTATAAAATAGAAGAAATTAGCCAGGCATCGTGGTGGGTGTTTGTAGTCCCAGCTGCTCAAGAGGCTGAGGTAGGAAGATCACTGGAGCCCAGGAGTTTGAGTTTGCTGTAAGCTAGGCTGAGGTCACAGCACTCTAGCCGGGGCAACAGAGTGAGATTTTCTGCCTCAAAAAAAAAAAATTACACCATCTTGTTAGATCTTTAAAAGTAACAGATGGAAGTGTTTGTTAATTTTATTTGCAAATAAGGAGACCATGCAGAAAAAACATCATATGCTGATACAGATATTAGCATTCCCAGATTGCCTAATTCCAGCTCATATCATGTTCCTTAAACTCACATCCTGCCTCCCAAGTCAGACTGGGCTTAGCCCATGCAGTCACCACAGTGAGTCAGAGCCACTAATGGCCCTAGGATGGATAAGGGCCCAAACAGAAAAAACACCTTGGCAACACAGTTTACAACTGAAATTTACAGAGGCCTTAGGAACTCGTTTTCTTGTTCCATATGTATATTACCTTCAAAACTATTCTAATACGTGTGGATACCACCTCTAGTTTTCACGGTTGTGCTGCAGGTACTGAGAGGCTGCCCAGCTGATTTAAGTCCAGCTTTCCACATTGCAGGTGCCTTCCAGCAGCACCTGGTTCACTCTAAAAGAAGTGACAGACCATCAGCCAAAGGAATGCCCTTGGTGCACTCTAAGTGGTCTGTCTTGTTCAAGGCCACAGACTCTCCTAGAAGGCTTATTACAACAGGCTGCTGGGCCTCACCCCAGAGTTTCTGACCTAGTAGGTCTTAAATGAGGCCTAACAATCTGCCTCTTTTAAAAGTCCCAGGTGACACTGATGCTGCTAGTACAGGACCACCTGGACAAACATTAATCACATGAGTCCAGGGCAAGAGCCCTGCAAAGTAGCCTGTCCAGTGGAAGGTAGTAGAGCTTGAATATTATCTCTAAGAAAGCTTATCATATCACATCCAGCTCAATTATGTGTCAAAAAGATAGATGGCACACCAGTAGCACGGAAAGGACTTTTTTTTTTTTAGCAATTGTCAACATTTTTCTTTTTTTTTTTTTTGGGATTTATTGAGGGCACAAAGAATTAGGTTACACTGATTGCATTTGTCAGATAAAGTCCCTCTTACAATTGTGTGCCAGACACCGTCGTGACCCCACATCCCTCCTTCTTCCCCTCTCCCCACTCCCTCATTCCCCTTGCCCCCTGGTATTAGCCAATCTACTGCCTTCTATTAGAATTGAGTACATGGGATTCTTGCTTCTCCATTCTTGTGATACTTTACTAAGAATGTGTTTCCACTTCCATTCATGTTAATACAAAAGATGTAAAGTCTCCATCTTTTTTACTGGCTGAATAGTATTCCATGGTGTACATAAATCACAGCTTGTTACTCCATTCCTGGGTTGGTGGGCATTTAGGCTGTTTCCACTTTGTGGTGATTGTAAATGGAGCTGCAATAAACAGTCTACTGCAAATGTCCTTATGATAAAAGGACTTTTTTTCTTCTGAGTAGATTCCCAGTAATGGGATTGCACCTTCAAATGGGAGGTCTAGCTTGAGTTCTTTGAGGAGTCTCCATACTTCCTTCCAAAAAGGTTATTAGTTCACAGACCCACCAGGAGTGTAAAAGCGTTCCCTTCTCTCCACATCCAAGTCAGCATCTGTGGCTTTGAGACATTGAGATATGGGCCATTCTAACTGGGGTTAGGTGATATCTCAGGGTCGTTCTGATTTGCATTTCTCTGATGACTGGGGATGATGAGTATTTTTTCATATTTGTTAGCCTGTTTTCTTTAGGGAAGGTTCTATTCATCTCTTGCCAAGGAATACATAGGATTGTTGGGTCTTTTTTTGTTGATCAATCTCTCCAGAAATCCTAGTTATCAAGCTTTTGTCCAATTCATAGTATGCAAATATTTTTCCCATTGTGAAGGTTGTCTGTTTGCTTTTGTTGCTGCTTCCTTAGCTGTACAGAAGCTTTTCAGTTTAATTAAGTCCCATTTGTTTATTTTTCTTGTAACTGTCATGGAAGTCATTTTCATAGAATCTTTCCCCAGGCTGATATCTTCAAGCGTTTTCCTCACACTTCCTTTGAGGCTTTTTATTGTTTCATGCAGTATTAAATCTTTTATCCATCTTGAATCAATTTGTGTAAGTGGTGAGAGGTATGGGTCCAGTTTCAGTTTCTTACATGTGGTTATCCAGTTCTCCCAGCACATTTATTGAATTTTTTTCCACACTATATGTTCTTGTTTGGTTTATCAAAGATCAGATGGCTGTAAGAGGTCAGTTTCATCTCATGGTTTTCTATTCAGTTATAAATGTCAATGTCTCTATTTTTATGCCAATACCATGCTGTTTTGATCACTGTCTTGTAGCATAGCTGAAAAAGTCTGGTAGGATGATACTCCCGGCTTTGTTTTTATTACTATAAAGTGCTTGGCTAAATAGGGTTTCTTCTGGTTCCATACAAAATGAAGACTTTTTCCAAATCCTGAAAGTATGATGATGGGGTATTTTAATGGGGATTGCACTGAATCTGTAGATTGCTTTGGGTAGTTTAGACATTTTCACAATGTTGATTCTTCCCAACCATGAGCATGGTTTCTTTCATTTGTTAATATCTCCTGCAATTTCTTTTTTTGGGTTTCACAATTTTCTTTATAGAGGTCCTTCACCTCTTTTGTTATGTATATTCCTAAGCATTTCATTTTTTTTTAAGCTACTGTGAAAAGGGAACTGTGTCCTTGATTAGCTTCTCATCTTGGCTATTATTGGCATATATAAAGGCTACCGATTTGTGGACACTGATTTTATATCCTGACACATTACTGTATTTTTTGATCACTTTCAGGAGTCTTGTGGTTGAGCTTCTGGGGATCTTTAAGTATAAGATCATCTTACCGGTGAAGAGGAAGAGTTTGACCTCCTGTGAACTCATTTGAATGCCCTTTTTTCCCTTCCCTTGCCTGATGGTATTGACTAGAACTTCCAAGACTATGCTAAATAGTAGGGCTGACAAAGGACAACCCTGTCTGGTTCCAGTTCTAAGTGGAAAAGCTTTCAGTTTTACTCCATTCAGTATAATATTAGCTTGGG